GCAATATGAGCACCGGTAAAAACCGGTTGCTACTCGGAAATTCATACATAGATCTCCTCAAGGACCCATGGCACAGTGGAGAAAGGCGTTGGTTAGATCTAGTGACGCATAGCAAAGTGGATAAAGAGTGTGAGTAAAGGCGGTGGAGAACTTGGAGAGAGGATTAAAAACTAAATCTGTTAATTAAAAACTTATTAACAGGAGCGAACTGATAAATGACATCCATTAAACATGGCACGTGGAACTAGAGCGAAATAAAGGGTTCAGTTCGACATTCCAACCAGAAGAAAGAGTAATCAGGAGCACAGTAGATAACGATTGATATTGTATTTAAATTCTTCCAGATTAGAGCTGACTGAAGAATGTGATAAATATGGCGACAAAGATGAGGACAATATTCCGAATAAATAGTGTACATAATACTTCATCTCAGAAATATAGACAAATACTGAAAAATTAAAACGTTGTTATAAATATGGCAAAAAAAGATGAGGACAAAAAGTCTTCGAAAAAATACGTAAAAAAATATACATAAAAGATTCTCATCTCAGAAATATAAACAGATCTCAGAAATATAAACGTTGTAATAAATTGGCGACAAAGATGAGGACAATAGTCCGAATAATGTAAATAATGTACATAATACCTCATCTCAGAAATATAGACAGATACTGAAGGGCCAGAACGTTGTAATAAATATGGCGACAAAGATGAGGACAATAGTCCGAATAATGTAAATAGTGTACATAATACCTCATCTCAGAAATATAGACAGATACTGAAGGGCCAGAACGTTGTAATAAATATGGCGACAAAGATGAGGACAATAGTCCGAATAATGTAAATAGTGTACATAATACCTCATCTCAGAAATATAGACAGATACTGAAGGGCCAGAACGTTGTAATAAATATGGCGACAAAGATGAGGACAATAGTCCGAATAATGTAAAAATAGTATACATAATAATTTTCTCAGAAATATAGACAGATACTGAAAAGGCCAGAAATCGTTGTAATAAAATTTATGGCGACAAAGATGAGGACAATAATCCAAATAATGTAAATAATATACATAATACCTCATCTCAGAAATATAGACAGATACTGAAAGGCTGAAACGTTGTAATAAATATGACGACAGGACAATAGAAAATAATGTCCGAAAAATACTAAAAGCAAAATATAGAATATATGAAGGGCCAGAATTAAATAAATATGGCATATATAGTCCGAAATATAAATATTTTACATAATACCTCATCTCATAAATATAACAGATACTGAAGGGCCAGAACGTTGTAATAAATATGGCGACAAAGATGAGGACAATAGTCCGAATAATGTAAATAGTGTACATAATACCTCATCTCAGAAATATATTTAGATAGAACAGATAAGATATGAAGGGCAATAGTCCGAATAATGTTGTAATAAATATCTCAGACAAAGATGAGGACAAATAAATTGAAAAGATATACAAAACACCGAATAATGTACAGTTACATAATACCTCATCTCAGAAATATAGACAAATACTGAAGGGCCAGAACGTTGTAATAAATATGGCGACAAAGATGAGGACAATAGTCCGAATAATGTAAATAGTGTACATAATACCTCATCTCAGAAATATAGACAGATACTAAAGGCCGTAACGTTGTAATAAATATGGCGACAAAGATGAGGACAATTGTTTGAATAATGTAAATAATGTACATAATAGCTCATCCTCAGAAATATAGACAGATACTGAAAAAATTTTATTTGTCATAAATATGGCAACAAAGATGAGGACAATAGTCCGAATAATGTAAATAGTGTACATAATACCTCATCTCAGAAATATAGACAGATACTAAAGGGCCGTAATGTTGTAATAAATATGGCGACAAAGATGAGGACAATTGTCCGCATAATGTAAATAGTGTACATAATACCTCATCTCAGAAATATAGACAGATACTGAAGGGCCGTAACGTTGTAATAAATATGGCGATAAAGATGAGGACAATAATTTGAATAATGTAAATAATGTACATAATACCTCATCTCAGAAATATGGACAGATACTGAAAGGCCGAAACGTTGTAATAAATATGGCGACAAAGATGAGGACAATAGTCCGAAAAATGTAAATAATGTACATAATACCTCATCTCAGAAATATAGACTGATACTAAAGGGCCGTAATGTTGTAATAAATATGGCGAGAAAGATGAGGACAATTGTCCGAATAATGTAAATAGTGTACATAATACCTCATCTCAGAAATATAGACAGATACTGAAGGGCCGAAACCTTGTCATAAATATGGCAACAAAGATGAGGACAATTGTCCGAATAAAGTAAATAGTGTACATAATACCTCATCTCAGAAATATAGACAGATACTGAAAGGCCGAAACCTTGTCATAAATATGGCAACAAAGATGAGGACAATAGTCCGAATAAAGTAAATAGTGTACATAATACCTCATCTCAGAAATATAGACCGATACTGTACGAAATTGCACATATCACCCGCCAAAAACTCTTCATCTAAACGAAACTGTTATCTCGATAGTAAGTCTGATCGGTTTGATAAAATGCTGATATCCAAAACGACCTTCAATCAACAGTTAACTGGGGCAAAGTAAATTTTAACGGCTTCCAAAAATTAACTGCTCTTTATTAATCATCTGAGAGAAACTTCTCTGTCTTCCATCCAAGATGGCTGGTGCTAACTTCCAGGCTATCTTGGGCTATCATTCCCGGCTGACATGAAATGCTAAAAACTATATTGAATCCATTGCTAGGTCAGCTGCTAAGAAAGCTTGTTCCCTGTGTCGTTCGTGACAATATTTCTCTGCAGAATCTGCCTTGCATATCTATGTCTACCATCCGTTCATGTTTAAAATATTGCTGCCACATGTGGCACGGTACTCCTGTTATCTATCTAGAGACCCTTGATAAAATCGAAAGAAGAATCAGAAATATTTTTGACCGCGATCTGGCACTTTGGGTTCAGCCATTTGCCCATCGACTCAAGGTTTGCCTTTTTTATAAATTTTTCATGGTAATTGTTCGGATGAGCTCTTCGCTATGGTGATAGGAATATTGTGGTATGTTTGGGTCAGTGTTTGTGACTAGCTAAATTTAAAGATGGAGCCCGTCCTTTTTCATCCCCCCCATTCCCCATTTTGGCCTTGTGCCACATTTTGTAAATATTACAAATAAATATCGCTCTTCGCTATGGTGCCTAGACTCTTTGAATTTAAGCGCAGTACTAGACGAGGTCTCACCAATTTACAGTTGAGATGGCTAGATGAAGCCGTAAAGTCTAATAGTTATTTTTCTCGCACCTCTCGCTTGTGGAACGCCCTTCTGGTTTCATACATTCCAGTCAGCTCTAATCTGGAAGAATTTAAATGCAATGTCAATCGTTATCGACTATCCCCCTGATTACTCTTTTTTCTTTCCGCTCATTAGTAATATTTCTGTTCTAAATTCTTCCATGCCCAGTAACCCCTTGTGTCTTAGTGGCTTTACTGCCTTGCATCGGGTGAAATGGATGTTTGTTTATATGCGCGTGATTATGTTTTGTGTTTCGGTGACTGTACCGCCTTGCTTGGCACGATTTAAAAAAAAAATGATAACTCTCATATAGTGCCCTTTTTTCTCATAGATCCCGGAAAGGATTTGTTAATTAGGTAATTAGAATTACTCCAGGGAAAGGCAAGATGATACCACACACAATAATAATAATAATGATAATAATAATCAACTATCCCTGTTGTAGTTGGAGCCCACGAATTAGTTGGAAAAGATTCCAGTAGATTAATTGAAGGGATTCCTGGAAGCCCATGCCTTAAAAAATTTTTTTAAAATTGTTCTCACGAGCGCAGCTCACACCTTACGAAATGTAATTTTATTTTGTGAGTGGAAAATGTCATGATGCCATTTCTAACCTTAGGTCTCTTGGCGGGACCGGAAACGAAATGTGTACACACCAGAAATAAAAGGAAATAATAATAATAATAATAATAATAATAATAATAATAATAATAATAAATGTGCTGGTGCTACACGAAGCAGAGTTCTCAAGGTTTCTACCTGAAATTAATTGGGGTGTTAAAATGTACATCTGTCTATATTTCTGAAATGAGGTATTATGTACACTATTTACATTTTTCGGACTATTGTCCCCAAGGACACATGGTACAGTCGATGAAGGCGTTAGTTAGATCCAGTGACAGGACCCAAAGAGTGTGAGTTCAATACCCGATTAAGGTAGTGGAAAACTTGGGAATTAACAGGAGATAACTGATAACTGACATCCATTAAAACATGGCACGTGAAACTAGAACAGTCTAACCCAGTGAGCGAAATAAAGGGTTCATTTCGACATTACAATCACCTGAACAAGTCCGGGGCGTACAACGGCCGAAACGTTGTAATAAATATGGCGACAAAGATGAGGACAATAGTCTTAATAATGTAAATGGTGAATTAAGATGGGCTATAGTAAAAATCCCGTTCACTGTCCAGTGATTTGCTTGCCAGTTGCCTGACTTTAACCAATTGGGCGTCTCCCTTAAAGTGTGATCCACTGTCCACATCTCCTCATGACCTGGATTAGAGGAAGCATCATGTCCGGTTCGATTTTGGAGTCACAGTTCTTTGGGAACACTCTCAATGGGAGACCGTCCGACCTGAAGGCATTTCTAACTGGGTCCCACCTGTAAGGTTATGCGGTGCTTTTATCAAAACCTATCACCAAATCGACCACATTTGGCCGCGACGTATGTAGCTGGTATAATCTTGTCAGACTTGTTGTCATGATAAGTAAAATTGGGTCTCGTATATATACCTATCCCAGCCTCACATTACTGGCGTGCTGGTCTAACATTACAATATATATTTTATTAGGTACACTGCACTTTATTAGGCGCCCTAGTTTTTATTAAGAACACAGCACTTTATGAAGAACCCGACATTTTATTAGGAACACTGCATTGTATGAAGAATAACATTGTGCATCCCGACATCCTGAACACTACCATTTATTTAGGTACACTCCACCTTATTCAAATCACTTACGTTTTAGTTCTTACACAGCAAGAAGAAGAAGAAGAAGAAGAAGAAGAAGAAGAAGAAGAAGAATTTGATAATGATGATGATGATGACGATGTTGAAATTCATTAGTCTAGTTATATGAGATTTACAAAAAATACCAGCCGAACAAGTAGAAAAACAACTGATGTGAACGACATGGACCGATCCTGAACGACGCCACCAAAGAACTAATTGCTACTAATTAGAGGTCAGTAAAGTGAGTGCATATCTATCTATCTATCTATCTATCTATCTATCTATCTATCTATCTATCTATCTCCAGTCTGTTCATATCTATCTATCTATCTATCTATCTATCTATCTATCATCCTCTATCTCAGTCACTTCATATCTATCTATCTATCTATCTATCTATCTATCTATCTATCTATCTATCTATCTCTGTACGTTAATCTATCTATCTATCTATCTATCTATCTATCTATCTCATCTATATCTATCTATCTATCTCAGTCACTTCATATCTATGTATCTATCTATCCATCTCTGTACGTTCATCTATCTATCTATCTATCTATCTATCTATCTATCTATCTATCTATCTATCTTAATGTATATTCATTTTTGGCAATACAATTATATATTTTTTTATAACTGGAATACCGATATTTTATCACTGACCTATTCTTCTTCTTAGTTTTAATCTTGTTAACAAAAACAGTCGAGTAATACTGAATTATTCTGTCATTGAAAATCAGGTCATTGTTGTTTGGTTTGTTGTTGTTGTTGTAGTCAGTCATTGTTGAAATGTTAAGTAGCTACATCGATTCACGTCTGGGAGTGGAGAGTGTAGAATGGACGATTCCGGCGGTATACATATAGTGTCACACATTTGGTATTTTATTGCTGGCCATTGACTGTTGGTCTTAATTCAAAGACAGATGAATGGAAGACATTTGAAGGTAAAGACAAAAACGTGAGCAACTCGTTAAGGGGTTGTGGTTAACAAGTACGTCACGGAGGTGTAGTGAAAAGACAAGAGAGAAAGCTAATTTAGGCTTTATTCAGCAGAGTTATTTATTGCGTCATTATAAACAGTTGCGGCACAAGGCCAAGGAGAAGTCGAGGAGTTCTGAGCAACAATTTCAATCCTAGAACTAGCTAATCAGATTCACGACACATGCATTCTTTACAATTTGTTAATTCCCCACAAAAACTAATCCGTCAACATTCTAAACTGCATATACCACAGTACTAAAAATACTCAGAGAAACTACAATCTGCGTATACCACAATATCACAAAATCTCAGGGAACATACAACCTGTGTATACCACAATATCACAAAATCACAGGGAACCTACAACCTGTGTATACCACAATATCACAAAATCTCAGGGAACATACAATCTGCGTATACCACATTATCACAAAATGTCAGGAAACCTACAACCTGCGTATACCACAATATCATACAATCTCAGGGAATCTACAACCTGCGTATAACATAATATACAAAATCCCAGGGAATCTACAACCTGTGTATACCACAATATCACAAAAACTCAGGGAAACAACAAACTGTGTATAACACAAAAACAAAAATCTCAGGGAGCGTAAAACCAGCATATAACACAATATCACAAAATCACAGGGAACCTACAACCTGCGTATACCACAATATCACAAAGTCTCAGGGAATCTACTGCATGCGTATAACATAATATACAAAATCACAGGGAGCCTACAACCTGCGTATACCAAATTATCACACAATCTCAGGGTACCTACAAACTGCATATACCGTCATATAAAATAATCTCAGGGAGCCTGCAACTTGTGTATACCACAATATCACACAATCTCAGGGAACCTACAACATGCGTATAACATAATATACAAAATCTCAGGGAATCTACAACCTGTGTATACCACAATATCACAAAATCTCAGGGAAACTACAAACTGCGTATACCACAATATCACAAAGTCTCAGGGAATTTACAGCATGCGTATAACATAATATACAAAATCTCAGGGAACATACAACCTGCGTATACCACAATATAACATCATCTCAGGGAATCTACAACTTGTGTATACCACAATATCACACAATCTTAGGGAACCTACAACCTGTGTATACCACAATATCACAAAATCTCAGAGTACGTATAAACTGCGTATACCACAATATAACAAAATCACAGGGAACCTACAACCTGCGCATTCCACAATATCACAAAATCACAGAAAACCTACAATCTGCGTATACCAAATTATCACACAATCTCAGGGTACCTACAACCTGCGTATACCGTCATATAAAATAATCTCAGGGAGCCTGCAACTTGTGTATACCACAATATCACAAAATCTCAAGGGATATAGACAGATATTGAAGAGCCGGAACTTTGTAATAAATATGGCGACGACGATGAGGACAATAGTCCGAATAATGTAAATAATTGACAATGTTATCATATAGAGAAAATTATAAACCCGATCAACCTTTACTTACAGAAACAAGTATAATAAAAAAAAAATAGATTAAATAGCCCAATAACGATTGATAAGTCGAAATCAAATGGCGCTATTTTATGATCTACATTTCATTAGGTTCTCTACTTTCTTTGGTAACCGAAACAACCAGACTTTGTTTTGACCTTACAAAACAGTATCTGTCTTAGAAAATTAACAATTTCTCTGACACCATAACATTTCAAACCACTACTGAACCCAGGTTAGATAACCAGAACACCTCCTGGGTACGACGATAAGCTACATCCGGCAGTAAGGCCTCTGATCAGGAGATTGGAGGTTTTGAAGAGCCTGGGACCATCTCTTAATTGCTGTTGTTCCTAGGTCCACTATGAGTCGGGCCGGTAAGGAGTTAGGATTCCAGCGATGAGCACACAAGTTAACCACCAAACCCTGTGAAAGTATAAAAATAAATTTTTATAGTAAAGATACCACCAATACATTCTACAGTTTTTAGAAAAAAAAAGTATTAACAGGAATAAATTTAAAAAAAAAATTATCAGTAATACATTTTTGAAAAAAAAAAAGAAGATTACCAGCAATGCAGTTTTGAAAAAAAAATATTACCAGCAATTCATTTTTGAAAACAAATATTACCAGCAATTCATTTTTTGAAAACAAATATTACCAGCAATTCATTTTTTGAAACAAATACTACCAATACATTTTTGAAAACAAATATTACCAGCAATTCATTTTTGAAAACAAATATTACCAGCAATTCATTTTTGAAAACAAATATTACCAGCAATTCATTTTTGAAAACAAATATTACCAGCAATACATTTTTGAAAACAAATATTACCAGCAATACATTTTTGCGAAAAATATATTACCATTTAAAAAAATATATTAGCAGTAATACATTTTTGAAAAAAAAATTACCAGCAATATACTTTTGAAAAAACAAACAAACTATCTGTTGTACATTTGACCCTCTACAAAGATACATCAACGAAACCTGATCTACAAGCAGATTTCTTGCAAAGAATATATATTCCATTCAGAAGAACATATCTTAAGAATCTTGTTAGCATTCAGGTTGATATACCGTAAAAAATAATGAACGAAACCAGACTAACCTCTAGATCAACACTTCACACAAACGGAAAAGAAAATTTTAAAAATAAATAATTATCAACATGCTAGATATTTTTGTTAAACAAACACAGGAAAATAAGAAGTTTGAATAAATAAAATAAAAAGTTGAGTTTCGTAACAAGGCATAAACCTCCCAACCCCCGGGCTTTTATGAAGAATGTTTTGACTCATTTAAAATACTTAAAAGTCATAAACGTGAAGTAATAACTTCCGTTTACAAAGCAAACATTTTTTTTTTTTTTTACAGAAGACCAATTTGACCAGGAAAGGCGAGAAATAGAAAATGAAAGAATTCATAATTTAATTGGCGCACGAACTTCCTGGTAAGACGTTACCTCAGCTCGAATACCAAACTCTTGGCGCCGAAGCGACACATAACTATCTCTGTAGATAAATACACTTCCTAAACTTAGTATGTGCAAGATGTAAGGAGGTTAGGAAGAGAAAAGAATGTGTTCCGCCAATTTTCTAAGTCCGAACAGCTTCACTCTGTGCTTAGCTTGAAAATAATTTATTCAAGATATTGATTTTTTTTATGTTACTTTGTGTTTCTATCTACAAGGAAGACATATCTACACCGTACAAATTTTATTTTGGTATGATATCTACATAGTGAAGCATATAACATAAAGAAAATGTAATTAAAATATTAAAAAAAATTCTTTTATTTATATGCTAGCCACAAAAATCATGTACATCGGCTAAAATATCTACACCGTACAAATTTCATTTTGGAATGACATCAAAATTTTCGAAAACGCTACTACTTTGGTTTGTTATCTACAAGGAAAAGATAACACATCAAAGTAGCACCTATTTTACTATGTAGATATAATTTCCAAAATAAAATTTATAAGCTCCAGATATTCGTTTTCTTCAGTATCTGTCTATATTTCTGAGATGAGGTATTATGTACATTATTTAGATTATTGGGACTATTGTCCTCATCTCTGTCGCCATATTCATTACAACGTTTCCGGCCGTTGTATGCTCCAGTCTTCTTCAGATGGTTGGAATGTCGAACTGAACCGTTTATTTCGCTCGGTAGACTGTTCTAGTTCCACGTCTCATGTTTAATGGATGTCAGTTATCAGTTATCTCCTGTTAATTTCCCTCTGAAAGTTCTCCACAGCCTTAATCGGGTATTGAACTCACACTCTTTGGGTCTTGTCACTGGATCTAACCAACACCTTTATTTACTGTGCCATGTGTCCTCAAGGACGGCCGAAACGTTATAATAAATATAATAAATATGGGGAAAAAGATGAAGACAATAGTCCGAATAATGTAAATAATGTATTCTTTTTCTTGTAGATAACAAACCGAAGTAGTTGCGGTTTTTTTTTTCGAATACACTCCCTACTAATACGAGATACGACACGAGGTCAGTTCTTTAAGTGGGGACCCGAGGGCGTATACCCGGGCTAGGAACAAAAACTCCCCGCAGCCCACGAAAACCGTCGGTTGCGCTGGCCTCGGTGTGAACACCGATCCCTCACTCTCTGGTGCAATGAGAGAGCACGGCATCGGGCAGCTGGATACCTGTTAGTCTAATTTTTATCAATTGTGATTCTGTCCTTTGACAGAGCCGCCCCTGAGCGCACTCTGCCCGAAGACAGAGACGCAACTGAGAGATGATAAATAATGTGTTACAAACTACTCGAGAGAGCAATTTGTATTTACTCACCCCCGCCCATGAGGTCGGGTTGTGATACAAGGTCGGTTTGATGTGGGGAGACCGAGAGTGTACACCCGGACTAAGAACAAAAATTGCCCGCAGCTCACGAAACCGTCTGTTGCGCTGGCCTCGGTGCAAGCAACAATCCCTCTTTCTGGTGCAATAAGAGAGCCCAACCTGGGGCAGCTGTTACCCAGGGCTGGACATCTATCAATATAATTTTTCTCAGTTGCGATTCTATCCTTTGATGGAGCCACCCTCGAGCGACTTTGTCCGAAGACAGAGACGTAACTGAGAGATGATAAATTATGTGTTACAAACTACTCGAGAGAGCAATTTACACACACGCACGACTCCCATAACCCATTAGAATCATAA